ACAAACACATCTGCATACAAAGCCAGAAATAACCCTGAGTACTGAAAAAAAAAGTAATAAAAAGTAATAAAAGCAATTTTTGAGGGACGACAGAGTATAAAGGGGCAGAGCTTTTGCTTGGCATGCAGGAGCCTCCAGCTTTGATCCCAAGCAGCATAGGATCCCTCAAGCACCACACCAGGTATGGTTCCAAAACCAAAAATATAAATTAAAAAATATGTGTGTGATATAGAAGAGCAAAAAGTATCCCAGAAAAAGCCCCACCAACAGTATTGAAGTTAGACTTCAAATTTGCTGGAGGCTGCCTTGGCCATACCGCTCCATGACGCTCTCTAAATAGTGCACAGTGCTCAAGACCAAAACAACCCACTTCCTACTTTATATACGTGAGAGCCAAATCCAAAAAAGGACTAGAAGGTTTTAGCTCCACATGAGGTAACGAAAGAACACAGACTTGGGCCATTAAGTCTGGGTTCAAATTGCACTACTGAGCAGTCCTGGGAATGAAGCTTACTTGATATCACTGACAGTCAGTCTTTGTATTTAAATGTTGAGCTTAGTTCGAGGATTGCTGTGAGAAATTAAGTTGAATAGTTTATATGAAACCCCTATGTAAGCATATCAGAAACTTGATGAATGCTCTTTCTCCAATAACTTTCTCTCTCTCTCTCTCTCTCTCTCTCTCTCTCTCTCTCTCTCTCTCTTTCTCATACTCTCACACACCAACAGATTTGAACCAAAATAAAAGCCAGACATTTTTTAAGTTTACCCTTGGAAACTTCTGGATTTTGTCACAAGCTTAACATAACCAAATTAAAGTTGGGGTATCTATGGACCGTGGGCTTGTCATAATCTTTTAAAGAGCACATATAAAACGGAGCATTTCTGGGGGGGTGGGGGAAGAACTGTGGATTTCCAAGAGAACATTCTACGAAGGAAAACTGGAAAGACTGAAAAAATTAATTCTCAGGAAGTCTGGGGTGTCCTGAGGGATCAGAGGCTGACAGCCCTCAGACAGACTCTGGCAGTGAAATCAGAGCCCCTCATTGTACCAGCTCCTTGGGTGTGCTTGGGACGCTTTCAAATCCTTCTTTATTTGCCATTCAGACAGGAACCATAGCCCCAGAAGCTTGTTTTGAAAATCTAGGAAAACAGATGTTTTTGCTTATTTTTTCTCTCTTTCATGCCAAAATGTTCCCTGAGTTTTCCTTGAATTCTAAACCCTCCTTTCTTTTTTTCTTGCTTGCTTCTAACTTGATTACTTCTCTCTCTCTCTTTCCCTCTCTCTCTCTCTCTCTCTCTCTCTCTCCCTTTCTTCGTCGTCTTCTTCCTCCTCCTCCTCCTCCTCCTGCTTCTCCTCCTCCTCCTCTTCCTCCTCCTCTTCTTTTAAGACAGATCTTGGGAAGTATTGTTAAATGAAGAGATAGGGTGGGCATCCAGTTGGGAGTCCTGGGAGACAACAGAGTCAGGACCAAGCATGGTCCGCCTTTCCCCAGAGAAAGCCAGAAACATTGCATCTGGCTGAGCAGAAATGTGTGACTGTGGAGGTTGTACGAATGTGCCAGGCACCAAGGAAGGAGCAGGCCACTTACAGTCCGTGAGTGTTATAGACCCTTGAGACATTTTAGTTAGCGTATTCAGTTTTCTAAGGCTGCTATAATCAAATGACCACAAAGTTAGCACCATAAAAAGAACATTTTTATTATCCCGCCTGTTCATTACTAATGTGACAATGGTGTCACTGGGGTAAAATCTAACTATTGGTGCCCACATGTTTCTTTCCGGAGGCTCTGTGGAAAAATTTGTGTCCTTACTTTTTCCAGTTTCTCAAGACTGCCCATGTACTTTGACTTTTGTTTCTCTTCATCTTCAAAGCCAGCAGCAGTGGCTGAATTTCTTCCTACATAGTGTCACTTAATGGTGGCGCTTTCTGCTTCCACATTCAGGGACCTGTGTAATGACTTTGATAACTAGGGTACTCACTCTAGTTGGAGGGGAGCTGATTGGTTTGGGATCTTCATCAGCATCTATCATTCTCTTTTGCCATGTGAAGTTCCAGTAAAGTATTCACAGGTTCAAGGGATTAGGATGTAGACATTTATGAGGGCTTTGTGGGGGTGAGGTTGGTGGTAAAAAAGAGTAACTACATTGTTACATAGGTCATTAGTATTCAGAACACTATGATTGAGTTTATTAGGCATTTTTAAGTTGCAAAAACTGCCTAATTCAAGCCAATAAAAAGAAAAAGATTGGACTGGAGAGACAGTACAGTGAATAATGCACTTGCGTTTCACATAGCCGACCTGGGTTCCAGCCACTGCATGCAAAAAGTCTTCTTAGCATTGCCAGGAATGATCCCTGAGCACATAACTAGGAGCAAAGCTCATTGTGACCCAAAATCCAAAAAATAAAAAGGCAAAAATTGTATGTCCTTATGTACGTGGAAAGAAAAGTGTCATTGGGTTCAAACACAACGAAATATCCAACAAGGTTCAGCTTGGCTTTCTTTGTGTTGGTTTCAGTCACTTGGGAGAATCTCAAGATATCTAGCAGGAAATCCCACACTTAAATAATTCTCAAGACTCAAGATCCCAGAAAGGAAGCCTTGATCTCTTTTTAAATAGCACTCTTCTAATTCTGACTCTCATTGGTCCAGCTCATGTCATATACATATCCCTGGATCAATCAGCACTCAGGAAGATACAATATATATGTCTCTTTCTATAGCAGAATGTGTCATCAGCCTAACTTGGGCTGCAGTGGTAATGACTGGGTGAAGGAAATGTTCTCTAATGGAAGGAAGTTCAGCTGTTATTACAAAAAAATGGGGGAAAAGCTAGGTATGTTTTTTAAAAATTACATTAATATTGCTATATTATTGTAGATTTCAGAACCATGCAATTATTATATTGTTACAGTTCAAAGGTCTCTTAGCTTCAAGCAATAAGGCACTTGAAAGAGTATGGAAACTCACCCTAGGCAAGTAGGCTAGTACATTCAGGTAGTACACCAAAACACAATTCACAGGATGGTTGAGAGTTTGAGTTTTTCCCTTGGACTCTGACAGCAGAACTGGGATTAACAAGGAGGGTGGTGGTGGGGGAATAGCAGTGGAGGAGTGGGTGGGACAAGATGAAACAGGAGGACGGTGGTGAAGGGTCTTTGATAATTTGGTAGTGGTGAGGTACCGAATTTTGCATGCCAACAGCATGCATAATAACATGATTGCAAATACATGTTTGCAAATCAATTATAGTAAAAGTAGATTTAAAATTTTTTAAGTTAGTGTTTTGAAATCAGGTTTTTATCTAATTTATTAGTTGTATATACTTGTCTGTTCTACAACTCAGTTTCATCAGCAAAATGGGGTTAATAATAGCAAGCTCACCTCATGAGCTTGTTGAGAAGTTTAAATGTGTTCATACTATGTGCTTAGACTAATACCTCAACATACAGTAAACGCCCAATCAATAGTAGTTTTAGTAATTGTTATTTTTATTATAAGTAATTGCTCCATAGGTAATTTGTGAATTTTGGGAGTGGTTATAAGAATCACATCAGATACTTTCTTGGTTTCCCTTTCTTAGCTGGGACCAACAGTGTCTCATTTCTGAGGCTTTCTACCACCTCAGCTGGAACTGAAGTCCTTAGATGTAGGGTGACTTGAGTGTTTAAATTACCCTATTTCTTCACCTCTCGTTTGGCGTTAGGAGTGTGATTCAGTGAACAAGCACATGTCATACAGATATTCGATGTTTTTGACTCCTGACTCTATAACAACAATAATAGTAACTGTTCTTTATCTCTGGCTTTGACTATTTATTTCTGTAACCAAATGAATTCTGGGCCAGTGTCTTTAACTTTTAGAATCTGGGGAGAATGTGAGTAGTCTCATCTATGACGTACTGTAAGTAAGAGTCTCGACTTTTTGCTTAACTGTAACTGCCTAGGTGGCCTTGTATAGTCGACTTGGAGACTTGGACAACTTACGCTGAAAGGGAAAATGGGTTTAACTGCTTGTCCTTTACATTTGTCTACAAATGGACATTTTCCTGCATAGCAAAGTAGATTTTCCTGTTGTTATAAATGGTGGAGACATTTTCCGATGCAGTTAGAAATGTTGGAGGGACAGAGAAACCATTCACCTTTACACAGAATAAAAACCCATTCTCGGATCACAAGTGCCTGCGGGGGAGAGAAGGAATGCCTCCACTCACTAGAAAGAGAGTAGGTGCCAGAGTAACCAGAAACAGCCGTAGAGCTATAACTTCTCTGTCTTGCACACAGACAATTCTAGCTTGGTTTGCTCCCCAGCACCATATATGATCCCCTGGCCCCACCAGGTTAGGCCCCCAAGTAAAACCAAAACGGAGTAACTAAGAATACCCCCCACGTCTTCTGTTTGGTGCATATTTCCTTAGGGGTCTCTGAATCCTTTCTCATCTTTCTGACCGCCCATATTTTTTTCAACCTTCTTTGTCTCAGATATTTAGAACATCACCAACTGCAGAGCTCTGCCTTCAGAGCCGATCCTTTCCCCAAGCACTATCATACGAATCAAATTATTCTAGGGATCTAGTTTGATGGTAATGGGGAGCAAGGGAGAGAAAGAGGAAGAGAAAGCAGCCTTGTGATTCCTTCTCTCTGGGGGCCCTTTGGGAAGAGTGGAAATGCTCTGCAGCTGTGCTGGGCATCACAGACGCAAGTGCTAAGATTTGGAGAAGACTAAGCATGCAAAGATTTTGGTAGATTACCTGCTGGGAGAGTCACTGTGAAGGTTCGCATGCCCCTGTCTAGTTGAACAAACCATAGGCTTCATGCTTACTTTCAAGTGGATTGTTTTTGAAGCTGTCAACAAAAAAGTATCCTGCTGCCAGGGCCAACGATCAAAAAAGAGAAAAGAGCAATGCAAACTGTGGGGGAATGTGCGAGAAAGAAAGATTGCAGAGTGGAAATGTGGTTCCACTAGCCTGATACCATGTGCATTATCTTCCCCAAAGGACCCCGTGGTTTAATGGATGGGGCTTTAACCTACCCAGAGGTCAGTCTCTGCTGGACAAGTGGAACCTCATTCCCGAGGGCATCGACATACTCATGACACACGGACCTCCTCTAGGTAAGTGCAGCCAAGGTTCTCCTTTTTTTGTCCTATGAAATGCCTTGTTCTCCTGCGCAAAATGAATAATGCTTCAGAGACAGAATCATGTTCCTTAAAAAAAATAAGTGAATACAAAAAGAAAAGTCAGTGTCTTTAAAGAAACCCAGTACAATAATTAAACTCAGCAGTTCCGCTGGGCTTACAGGTGTTCTTGAAATTAAATTTTTTGATTTAGTCAAGTCAGGGAAAAATCAAATGAGGATGGCTCGCCATGGTCTTTTGAGCTTGATAATGTAAGAAATGTTTCACTTTTGAGTAAGGGGAACTGGGGTGGGGAACGGAAGGAAGGAAGATAGGACCTACCAATCACAGGCCTTTTGAGTGACAATGGAATGATGGAAACTTTTGTTCAAAGGAGTTCATTTTCTTTTTCCATAGAATAGGGGAGCATGGGAGCTCTTTAAAGTTTAACATTTGAGCTGATTATGTGAGAGAAGCATCCATTTCCTTTCTTTCTTTCTTTCTTTCTTTCTTTCTTTCTTTCTTTCTTTCTTGCAAAGGTGTTACGTAGACTTCCATTGAAAGTTATTGAAAAATACTCATCGTCGTGACTTAGCGGGAGTATAAGGGTTAAAGCACAGGCCTGGCATGCAGCAGCCCAGGTTTGGTCCCCAGCACGGTCTGATTTCCAACTCCAATCCCAGCACTGCCTGCTCTAGGCTTGTAAGGTTCCCAAGTACTGCAGAGGTGGCCTGAGGAGCACTACATCCCAGGGCCCTCCAGGGAATCCCTGGTCCAGTTGACTGAGAATGACTGGGAGGGATCCCTTGGCCCCCTCAGCACTGACTGCTGCCCACCCTTCTCACCCTGCATTGAATCTGTATTCAAGTTTAGATTTCACTGTGCTTTGGAGCTCCTTTTTTTAAAAAAAAAATCGGGTTCACACTCAGCAGTGTTCAGGGCTTACACCTGGGGATTGAACTCATGTTGGGCCTGTGCAAGGTACATGTCCTGCCTGCTGTACTATCTCTAGCCCTTAGAATGCCTTTTCTTTAGTTACAGTGATGGGTCTGAAAAATAATCTTTTGCCTCGTATAATTATCCTTAACTATTTGCGAGTTTATATCTGTTTGACTTAACTATGGAACATTTCTTAAATAGGAATATCATCCTGACCCCTCGTCTACTTGGTATCAAGTATGTCAGCTTCTTCCTTGTCAAAATAAGATGTGCTTATGCTATCCAGCTATTTTACTTTGAGTAGGGAAAAGGTGCTTTTCTTTTATAACTGTGGTGGCAAAGAGGGGTTGGGGAGCAGATAAAATCTCCCCTTAAGTAATTCAGAAATATACAGTACTAGAATAAATTTTGTGATTATCCTGGTTAGGCAACAGGAGAACACTTAATAAACACATTAATTATTTTCATGTGGTTTGGGGTTGTTATCCACGTCACCTCTTCTGTCAACCTGAAAAATGTAAAGACTGTAGCATTCTTCTCCTAATGTAAATTTACTCTTTGGGCACATGTTCCTCTCTGACAGCTGCTGTCCTTCGCTTTCTGGGAAAGGACCCAGTGTTTCACATAGGAAAAGCATGAGGGGACCAGAGAGATAGTCCAAGCATTAAGGCGTATGCCTTGACTGACACTTCTTTGATCTTTGACATCAGATGGCTGCCTTGGAGACCTCAAGCACCTCTGAGGTGTCCTGAAAATTCCTGTCCCACAGGGCTCCTGCAACACTGCATCCTCGGATCTTTGTACTGATTCACTGGCATGATTGGCCCTGAGTCATTGGGCAGGGCTCCTTCCCCCGCAGACCTCCTGAGCACCCCTGGGAAACCCCTCCCCAGGAAAAAATAGGAAGTAAAACCAGAATGCAAGAAATGGTGCTACATATATATTTTTAATTTTTCATGTTATTATTGGTTTACTGATCACAACACTGTATGTATAGGACTAGAAAGACAGTGGAGGGTTTGCAGCGCTTGCCTTGTGTACAACTGACCTCAGTTTAATCCTAGGCACTAAATATGTTTCCCTCCCTCCCCCATCATCTTCAAGAGTGATCTCTGAGTACAAATTCTAGAGTAAGTCCTGCGCACTTTCAGGGTGGTCCAAAAGCTGCAAAAGAGAGAGGAAAATAGGAGGGAAGGGGCAGGAAGATAAAAAGAAAGAAAAGGAAATAAAATTCCTTGCTTGCTTGCTTTACAATATTACAGCACAAATCAACTCATCATCAAAGTCCTAATATGATCCCACCATTACCAAGGGCCCCCTACTCATCCCTCCAACACCCTTTTCCTGGTTGTATGTGGAGTTTTCAAAAAAAATTTTTTTTGGGTGGAGAAAGGAAGAGAAGGAAGCTAGTTGTGACCAGTGGGAAAACAAGACTGATTTTCACATAATCAGCAGGTCCTGATTTTTTCAATGCTTCAGACTCAACTCATCATGTGTATGTTTTTCTCCTCTCAACCCACCATATCCATGTTTTAGAAGTATTCGTATTAACCTTTATTATGTCATGATGAATTAATTGCCCTAGTTTGTAATCATCAAAAACAACATCATTACATTGCTAGCTAAACTGTCTGAATTATTACTCACTGAGTAAATTACTCAGTGAGACCATAAAGAGATAGCATCCCTACCACCTTGATCCTTACTCGAGAGAGGAAAGCATGGTTTCCCTAAGACTTTTGATTTGCTGTAAGGGTTTTCTGCATTCTTGGCAGGGAAATACGAATTTGACTGAAGAACTCCTTGGAATATAACTTGGAAAGAAACAGAACAGTTCAGGCCTGCAAATGGCTCAAATTTGCAATTTTGAGGGCTGGTGCAAATGCTTTGCTTGCTAGAGGCATGATAGAGATCTCTGACAACAGTTTCACACCCCACCACAAGCACTTCCAGGGTGACCCTTGAGCTCTGAGTTGGGAATAGACCCTGAGTAATCCAGGTGCGTCCCCAAAACAAATTCCCCATGGGAAAAAAATGCCCATTTAGTTCAGACTTAATCAAATCATTAATTTTGGTACAAAATCAGTACTAAATCTAACTCTTCATTCCAACCACTTAGGAGGTTAGCTGTCCTATAAACTATTAATGAAGGGGCTCCCATCCCTTTCTTTGTAGTAAAGCTGGAGTAATCCGTATGGTTGTCGTAGATAGCTAAGGGAGCTCTCAGTCAAGGGGGTCTAATATAGAAGGTCAGGCACAGTTTTTATATGGTAAGGTTGAAGCCTAGTCAGTAAATTCATGGAATTCTTATGAAATTTCTGACTTGGCATGAGATTTGGGCCTTGAATTCTCCTCTGCTGTTAAGAGAAGTCTCAGCACAGGAGTCTTGGCTAGTACCTGCACAAGGTGCTTTCTCAGATTAGATCTTTTCCTCTAATAAAAGTTCATCCATGAGGGAAGGAAATGTACCAATCACTGTGGGTTATGGATTTTTCCATGAGTTCAACAAGGTTTTGAAACCTCTGGTTGGACTTTCACTGGACCCTGACTTTCTTCTGCTGTCCTTTGGACATTCCCCACAGCCAAAGTCTGATATTTTGACTGAGATACACCACATCCTCATGTCAATGCTGTTACTTAGACTGGAAGAGGCTTATCCGCTCCTGTCTGCCTGATCGTTTCTAAATAATAGAAATAGCCTAATGGAGCTGTGGAATGGGATCCCACTGATTACAACTTAGCCTTTCGTCCACCTGCCGTCTTTATACCTCACCCTGCTGAGTCGTATGGATTCCATTTTAGACTATAATCATCCAGATAGCTGACTTTTGCTCTAATTGATGTCAGTTTTTATGGATTTTCTGCATTAAGTGTGGAATTAGTGGCTTTTACTTTAAAAGTAGTCAATTAGCACCCGTTTGCTTGGTGCCTCCAAGAGGTCAGACTGCCCAGATTGCTGGAGGGGAGTCTGGTGGAGGGAGGCCCTTGGTATTCTGGAGCTCTTTTCATCAGGAACCACCAAGGGTTAAGAGCAGATGCACCAGAGCCAAAGAGGTGGCTCAAAGATCTGGAACTCATGCCTGGTATGCAGAAGCCCTGGGTTCCATTCAGAGCATCATCCAATATCCCCAAGGACCTCCAGGGTGTCTAATTAAAGGCAGCCCCTCTAGCCCATCTTCTTTGAAATCTTTCAGAAGTATACTGCTATTAGGGATATATAATAAAAATAACTAAAGAGAGGAAGAGAGAAAGAGAGATTATGGCACTGCCAGGAATAAATGTCATTGGGCCCATGAAGAAGATTTGAAACCTGTGGTTGAATAAATCAAATCCCTTACAGGAAAAAAATGTTAATTAACAGGAAGGGAAAAAAAGTGGAAACCAAAAAGAAAAAAAAACCAGGAACCTAAAAAAGACAAAGTGACGAGTGAAAAGTTCCTTAAAAGCCATTGTGAGCCTTAATGGAGAGGCTAGGATTACAGATAATGTAATAAACCTTCTGTGAGTTATGACTTCCTGAAAGTCTAAATGAAACCTTACCTGAAGAAAGAAAATTAAAAGTATTGATTGCATTTTGCCCTTAGGTTTTCGAGACTGGGTTCCAAAGGAGCTTCAGAGAGTGGGCTGTGTGGAGCTTTTAAACACAGTCCAGAGGCGTGTCCGACCCAAGCTCCACGTCTTTGGTGGGATCCATGAAGGTAAGACCAGAAGGAAGGAGTGTGCATGTGTGTCCTTGATGTGTTCTCCTTCCATAGTAGATCCCTGAGCTACATCAGGCTTTCCTGCAACAGCAGTTTCCAAATTCTTTTTTTTAAAAACCCTTCCATGCAGTAAAATGTTAGGATAAAGCCAATATAAACCCAGTAGACAGTTTATGTGGAGCTGATGTCTTTAAGCAGAATGGAAATTTTGACCCAGGTTTGATAGACCTGACAGAAACCTAGAAACTTCTGGAATTCTAGAAATCTAGAAGATTTGGGAATTTTTTTTCTGGTTAAGAAAGTTCGAGGGGCTGGAGCCATAGCACAGCGGGTAGGGCATTTGCCTTGCACGCGGCCCGCCCAGATTCGAATCCCAGCATCCCATATGGTCCCCTGAGCACCGCCAGGAGTAATTTCTAAGTGCAGAGCCAGGAGTAACCCCTGTGCATCGCCGGGTGTGACCCAAAAAAAAGAAGAAAAAGAAGAAAGTTTGATAAGCTCTGTTGTCAGGCACCCCAAGGTGAAAAAGGTAAAATGTTCTCTTCAGGAGAATGAGAATTGGCCTTGGATATTTGGCTGCATCATTTCAGTGGCTCCATCCTATTGAGTTCAGATGGAATGCATTCAAGAGCCCAAAGAACCCAAAGGCAGTCCCTAAAAAAGAACTCTGGACGGGCAAGAAAAATTATATGCTAGAAAGGGCAGGAACCTGCATGTCTGCAGGTGGATATTGCTTTACTAACCTTCGATAACCATTTCAGACTTATCGAAAATCATCAGCACTATTAAGTGAGAGCTGAGATTAAACTCTAACTAAATCTCCCCTTGTGGGAACTGGGCCATTGGCCACTTGCTGCCTTTCAAGATAAATTGGGAGCAAGTTCACAGAAGCTGGATTCCTCTCAGGAAATTTTAGGACTCTAGATTTTAGTCAGTTTTGCTTTTATTTATTAATTTTTTGGGGGTGATTGAGGGGTCATACCCAACTGTGCTCAGGCCTTCCTCCTGGCTCTGAACTCAGTGATCCCTTCTGGTGGTGCCGGGGATCAAAGTAGATTCAGCTACATGTAACACAGACACCTAAACCCCGATGCTCACTCTTCAATCCTAGCCTCTAGAGAGACACAGTGTTCTCTTTCAGTTCCTTGATTCATTCACCCCATCTTGCTTCCCAGGATTTACACCTTTGTATGTCATGGGTGCTGTTTCCTGGACAATTCCCATGTTCACTCGAGCTCATTTGCGGCTAGTCTCTGGAGTTACTTATGAATTCACAGCCAAATTGTTTAGGCTCTTTGCTTGATGAAGCAAAAGAACTAAGTTTGCTTTGCAAAGCCCACAAATCCAGTAGCTTCCCCGTTAGGCATGTAATTAAGAACAGATTGAAAATCATCCCACTGAGGCCAAAGAAATGCAAAGGGTTCCTTCCCAGTGCAAGCACCAGTGGAGAAGGGGTGGAATTCAGGCTTCTTCTGTGTCATAACCTGACTTACTTGGAGCTGTGTCCTTCAAAGGGACTTCTTGCCTCTTGACAGCCAAGTGGAATTTGAGGGGGTCAGGAATGGTGTTCATACTGAAACAACATTTGGGGTGCATGCCATTTAGCACATTTGTATGCGTACAGTGTACCTAAGCCTTGTATTTCATCCTTTTAAATCATTAATTAGCTTTAAACTAACCAGACAATTGAGGAGTTGCACTGAAATCCCCAAATAATAAACTTGCTAGAAAGGTAGATCATATTCAAATAAACTTGTCTCATTTTTATTCGCTTAAGACAGCTAAAGAGGGCAGAGAGAAGGCAAATACCAACCTCTTGATGGAGAGAGATAACAAGACTTTATGACCCCAGAGCTAAACAGTGCACGTTTTTAATGTCTCTGTTCTTTTCTTAAGAGATTTTCCCATTGACCCTCATTAAGCTCTCCACAGGCTTGAAGAAATTTTAGCCAGTGGAAGGGAAAAACCTTATGAGTTAATTTTGTAAGTCCTGGCCATTTGTTTTTCTGATGGAAGTATTTTTCTCTGCCCTAAGAGCCTGATACCAATCCAGAATTGCAAACTTAATTGCAAAGGCAGTAAGTCAGATATAAGGCATGCAGGGAAATGTGCAGATTCATAAGCAGGACAGAAATGTCAGTGTATTAAAAATTGCTGTAAAACGTGGCTGAGGAGATATTACAGAATCAATGCCTGACACCAGATGGCCTCTTTAGTATTGCTGGGTGTAGTACTAGAGACCTGAGCACCCCTGGCCCTCTTCTTCCTGGGCCAGAACACAGGACCAGAACAGCACCACATCCTTGAGCCCTACCACTCAACCACTGGCCCATTGAACAAGTGTCACCCAGAGTGGAACTCAGGCCCCAAGGAACTGCTTGGGAAACTCCCAAAAACAATAATAATACAAACTAAATTTTAAAAGTTATAAAAGGAACATATGTACCAGGCTCAGAGACACTTCCCAAGATTTCTCCCAAGAAATCACAAGAGGTTTATGCTGCCTAGAGGAAAAATGGTCTTGCTTGATTGCGTGTTCAGCTTAGGAAGGGATGTCCTGTGGTGATGGTCTCTGCAAAGCCCTTGAACATTTTGTTATTTGACTCTCGAATAAAATGGAACTCAGCATCAAAAGCCACACAATTCAAGTAAGATCAGATCATTTATTAATACGTTTCATCGAGAGAGTTGGAGATTGTTTCATTTAAAAATAAAATTAAGGAAGCGCGTTGAGGCTGATGAGATAGAGAAAAAGACTGAAGCACACAGGGTCTGGAGTTTTCTCCCTCCAGCAACATATGCCTCACTCAACTCCCTGTCACCCCCATTTTTGACCTGAAGACCCCCTTCACTGCTGGACCTGAACAACTACACCTAACTTTGAGCTATATGGCCTGGGGCTAGAGAGATGGTACAGCCCCAGGTCATATAGTATGGTGCTTGCCTTGCATGCAACTGACCTGGGATCAATCTCTGATATCCTGTATGGTCCCCCTGAGTCCCACCAGGAGTAATCCCTGAGTGTAGAGGCAGGAGTAACCCCTGAACATGTCAAGAGTGGCTCCCAAGCAAAACGTAATTAATTAATTAATTAATTAACTGTCTGGCCTGGTTGTCCAAATATCCACAGGACAGGCCCCCAGATCCCCTAAACTTTGCTTGGGAAGCAGAGTGGGGAGAAGCCACAGAGACAGAGACACAGAGAGAGAGAGAGGAGAAAGAAAAACCCAGATTTCACGTGCCCCTACTTCCACACGTACTCGCAAGGCCCTGAAACCTGTGCCTCCAAGAAGTTTCTTAGGGAGTCATTTTCCTTCCTACCCCTCAAGAGTTAATTTTGTGCTTTGGACTGAAAATTACTTTTTTAAAAAGAAGACAACAAAGTTTTGATTTATTCTCACATGGTAAGGAATCAGAGCCTGTCCGTGACAAATCAGGAAGAAAGAATGGCTCTTCTTTGAAGGAAAAGATTCTCTTTCAAGAAAATAAAATCAGGAGGCAACTTCTGGAAGCCTTCAGTGTGGGGCAGCTCAGCTGCGTCGCATCTCTCTGCCCCTGGCTCGAGACTCCTTGCTGTCCTCGTCCTCGCCTGCCCGCCCGGCACTGACTCATTGTTCTTTGTGTCTGTGACAGTGAGTGTGACTTTTCTCTCTCCACAGGTTACGGCATCATGACCGATGGTTACACAACATACATCAATGCCTCGACGTGTACAGTCAGTTTTCAGCCCACCAACCCTCCAATTATATTTGACCTTCCAAACCCACAGGGTTCCTGAAGCTCTAATCGCCCAATTGGAATGTGAGGGAAGGTCTTTAAACTGCCATTTTTTCTAATTATAAACTTACATTCTCTTGTTCCTCTCCGAATCCTGTGAGTTCTTTTTGTAAATTGCTGGAACATGGATGATGCTAGAGGTTGTGCTTCTATATTTTATCTTTTTTTTTTTTAAATGGGGCATCCATTTGAAATCAAAGGAGCATTGTGCATTTGTAAAATGAGTTGTTTTCTCAAAGGCCACGCCATTGTAAATTGTTAGTGTTCGCCAAAGGACAGCCAAGCTTTCTTTTTAAAAAGGTGATTTTTAAAAAATATCTTATTTTAATATGCTTTAAGCTAGATAAAAAAGAGATACAGGTAGGCAGTGTTTTTTTTTTAAGGATTTGCACAACTGTTTAAAGAGTATTGTTTGAAGTATTTTATTTTTTGTTGTTTTGTTGTTGTTTTTGGCAATGGGTTTTTGTTTTTGTTTTTGGGGTGTTTTTTTTCTTTTGCAGATGTGGCCCTGATTTACAGCAATTCTCTCAACAAAAATAGGCGTGGAAAAGACTCCTTCACACTCTCACTCTAAGGAAGGCCGTTCCAAGGGCAGAAAATGGCCCTTGTTTTGAAGGATGGCTTAGCTAGTGAGATCCATAGTGTGATTAGATGAGGTCTCGTTGATTGTTTCTTTTAAATTATTTTAGCTTTAAAAATATGAGAATGGAATCTGTGTCAATGGCAGGTATTTCATGCAGTTTAAAAAGAAGCGTGCAAACTCCTTTGCAATATGGGTTTATACATATGAATATTTTTGTGTGTATTATGACTAAGTTAGGGGTGTGATTTTGCCAAGACAGTTCAACTGCAAAGGGATGCTCTTGCACGGGGCATCAAAAGTCTGAAGGAACTGACACATTTTCTCAGTGCTCAAGGTCTCAAAGAACTTGAGTCTCATCAAGGTACCATTACAGACGTGTATAGACGTAAATGGATGCAATGGAAGCTAACTAAAATAAGGCTTAGTTGTCCTTTATATTTAAATACCCTGAATTGTCTTCTTCCTCCCTTTCCTCCCCCCATTTTGCACTGTGTGTCGATGCAATCTTCGCTAGCACAAATTATTGTCGCTAATAGTCCTTTCTGTTTTCCCATTGTAAATGCTGTTGAGCTTTATTCTATTTTATGTTATCTTGTTAACGAAATTTAGGAAAGCAGTTGTTTCTTTAAATTTATTGTGATATTCTATATCTAGCGGCCTTTATATGCAAATAAAATTGCAAGATTTTTAAATTCGTGCTGTTTGGAAAGTTGGCTGATCATGAGTGGGAGGAGGGAGGGCTTGGCCTGGGAAAAACGGGTATTAATATTAGAACAAGTGACTTTTTCTCCCAGTTTAAAAAAAATAATCACAATGATTTATCATTTTATAATATTCTCAATGATAGGGTTTCATGTATTCCCCAGTCCAACAGCACACCTCCCTTTTTTTCTGATTTTCAATAAGTTTCTTTTGTTTGGTTGGTTTGGGGGGGCAGAGTGATAGCATAGTGGGAAGGGCATTTGCCTTGCATGCTGCTGACCCGGGTTTGATTCCTCCATCCCTCTCGGATAGCCCAGCAAGCTACGGAGAGAATTCCGTCCTCACGGCAAAGCCTGGTAAGCTACCCGTGACATATTCGATATGCCAAAAATAGTAACAACAAGTCTCACAATGGAGACATTATTGGTGCCCACTCGAGCAAATCGATGAACAACGGGAGGACAGTGGTGACAGTGACAGTTTTATTTGGGGGCCATAGCTGGTGATGTTTAGGGCTTACTCCTGGCTCTGTGCTCAGGAATCACTCCTGGAAGGGCTCAGGATACAATATGTGGTGCCAGAGATTAAGCCTAGGTTGATTGTACATCAGGCAGGAGCCCTGTTCACTGAACTATTTCTCTTGCCCAAAATTTTCAATAATTTTTTTAACCCATCACTCATGGACTGGCAGATAGATTGATTAGACGCTCCATGTACTCTCTCCTTCTATCACGCTGTCATATATCTTGCTGTAGATTTTTGAGGAGGGGTGATTTTGTCTTTGGCAGTTGTAATTTCTCCAACAACAGAGTCACCATGCCGTGGAAGCAGGAGTGACTCACATGGGAGGCTCACTTGGGGGGTGAGAGAGAAGTGAATAACAGAGCAGTCTTCACATTCTGAGCCTCACTGGGACCAGTTCCCACTCTCCTGCTCCTTCTTTTGAAATGATGCTCAACCCTGGGAAAATGCTGGGGCCACCAGCAAGCAAGATGAGGTGGGGGGGAACCAAGTTTGACGGGTTTTTTTTCCTCTCTGGAAGACCTATTGCAGAAAACCAGCATGGACCAGAATCTGCAGTAGATATCAAAAGTCACATCCGAGTGCCCAGTGAACTGCGCCCTGATACATTTCTCTTTCTTCCTCCTCTTGGTATAATTCCTACAAGAAATTTTAATTTTAATGCCCACAGACTAGGGAGACTAACTGTAGACCAGAATTTCTGCCTATCCCACATATCACATGTGAGGTCATCATACTGTTAATACTTACTGTCTCTACATTGTTCTGTGCCTAGAGGGCAGGTGTTTAATTGAGCTTGCTAAGGGGGGGGGGGGGGGGGGGTCCATGACCAGAGAAGCTAAAATAGACCAAAGATAGTTTGTGAATAGCTGACAGTCCTCTTTTGACCTTAGATAGTAAACTGAGGCTCCCAGATATAAATTACCTTTCTCTGGGAAAACAAGGTTAAAAAACAGACAGACCTGCCTAGTTTCCAGGTCAGTCCATGGTCATTTCCTGTGTGTGAACCTGGGAGCAGTGCCTGCAATGTGGCTCTGTGACAGAAGCAAGATGGACTATGTCCTCACTGCTTGAGACTCAGCATGGGGTAGTGGCCCAGAGCCCAGAGCCAGCGGACCTGTGCCAGTCATGGCTGCACTGCGCTGAACACTCATGCTTTCAGTTGAGTTTCATCTATAAGATGAAGTGATGGTGATTATGGAGATAAAGTTGCCTTTGGAGGTCACTGCCTGGCTATGGTGTATCTGTGTTCATTAATAAGCCAGGAGTCTGGGGTTCTCTGGGTAGAACCTGTCAGCTGACTCTGTCATACCCCCAAGTATCAGTGGCACTGTTTCAAAACTCTACATTTTCTTTCTTAGAAACTAGGGGCTGGGACTGAGCAATAGCACAGCTGGCAGGGCATTTGCCTTGTACTAGCCAACTCGGGTTTGATCCCCAGCATCCCATATGGTACCACAAGCACTGCCAGGAGTAATTCCTGAGTGCAGAGCCAGGAGTAACTCCTGTGCATCACTGGGTGTGACCCAAAAAAACAAAAAAAAAAGAAGAAGGAGGAGAAGGAAGAGGAGGGAAAAGAAGAGGAAGAAGAAGAGGAAGAGGAAAGGGAAGGAGAAGGAGAAGGAGAAGGAGAAGGAGAAGGAGAAGGAGAAGGAGAAGGAGAAGGAGAAGAAGAAAAAAAACTAGGGACTAAAGAGATAGTAGAGCAGGTAAGGCACTTGCCCTCAATGCAGCCAAGTGGTTGGTTTGGTCCCCAGGACTGCATATTGTCCCCCAAGCACCACAGGGTATGGCTCAAAGAGAGAGAGAGAGAGAGACAGAGACAGAGTTGGGGGGGGCAGGGGGGATAGGGGAGGGGAGAGAGGGGGGAAGATGAGAGAGAGAGAGAGAGAGACAGAGACAGAGTTGGGGGGGGCAGGGGGGATAGGGGAGGGGAGAGAGGGGGGAAGATGAGAGAGAGAGAGAGAGAGAGAGAGTAAATTATAATGCTCCTCCCTTCTTAACAGAAAGAACCCCAAGGGCATTTGCCAAAGGCACATAAGGGAACCTGACCTCCAAAAGCCTGAGTGTCCTACTTTGCAAGTGGTTTTTGTTTTTAAGTCTACACCCAGTGGTGTTCAGGGATCACTGCTGGCAGGGCTCAGGGGAACATATGGCGTGCTGGGGATTGAACCCCAGTTGACTGCATGCAAGGAAAGCAAACTACCTGCTGTACTATAGCTCTCTAGCCAGCAAGTTGTTTTAAATGGTGCTCAGGGATCTCTCAGCATCTCTCTGCCCTGGTAGTGTTTACATTCCATCTCACAATCTCCTGGCTCAATTAGTGGATTTTGTTTCTGTGCATTTTCTCCAATCTTAGAAAGAAGGAGATGGGGAGAGGAAGTTTGCTGAAATCCCCTTAAGAGAAAGGTCACTGTTATTCTGACAGGTGGCTAACGTTAAGCCTGCCTTCATCTCCATCACTTAAGTAAATAAATACTGTGACCTAGGTCTTAAGTAGGGAGAAACAGAAGCTGTGAGGATTTGGGATTTGTCAGTTGCAAATAAAAACACTTGCTGTGCCCAAACTAATGCTGCCTCTTCCACTCTCAGCGGTGGAGAGCTACTTCGGCAGTCCACTGCTTGTATTATTTTAGTTTATCACTATCTTTTCATGCCCTTTCCCCGCTTTCCTAAAACTTATAAGGTTTCTCTTTAATTATTCAGCTGAAGTGATTACAATGCACTGTGATGTATGACTCTGGGCAAGGGGAGAAAGCAGTTAGATGTGTGGAGGGTTCCAAGATTGGACAGTTTTAATAGGGGCTTCACAGAAGAGTCCAAGTCCACTTCGGGAAAGTCAGTTTCTACTTAGAGAATGCTTTTCCTCCCCCTTCTCACAAAGTAGCAGAATTGCTTGGTAGATGGCAGCTGTCGAACATCGTTCTTACTGGTGTCCAGTTACCCTCCTTTGCAATAGTCCCCTCTGTGTTTCCTCTATCATCCCACTGGAAGAGAAAACCCAGCTGATTCAAAGCCTCTCAGAGATACCCCATTCTTCCTTGGCATCCATGTAAAGTCACCCTCATAGCTCAGCAGAGTCTCAGAGAGGGTTTGTGGCATGACATTGTCACAGATCAAATGAAAGCAATCTCTCCCCTTTAGTATTTGGATTCTTAACTTTTGAACTGGGACTATGTCTTTTTCGTCTTGGCATTCAGGAATAAATGAAGATGAGAAGCTCAGTTTTGCAGATGTGATAGGATTTTTTTTTGTTTTCTGGTGAAGAATATAACACCTCTCTGTAGTTTATGAATTAGATTGTTGGAGGGAAATCTGCAGAATCTGAATGCTGAGTATTCTCATAAGCATTTGCTTTCTTCCCCTTAACTGTATACCAGTAATCGCAGCTGCTCACAATTTCTCCTCCTATAAGAGAGATGGGTACACATTTTTTGCCTTTTCTATCTGACAACTGTGACAACTCTATGTTTTTTTTTTGTTTTGTTTTGCTTTTTT